CCAGAATTACATGTCGTCTCTGTGTGCACAGAAATTTAAGCCAAAGCAAATAAACATGATATTCAATGCACGGACAAAAAAGGGTAAAGGTAAACATGACACAAAGGATTTTACATGAGCTTCCTTGTTAAGAGGGTCCTGTCCCTCTTTTTCCAATTAAGAGAGAACACACAAACTCCATTTCTGACCACTTAATTGTGTTACAGTGCCATCATCCTATTTTAGCCATAAACTAAAATCACCTTAAGCTGATTAACATTAATACTGTAAATGTATCTGCTCTCTGCAAAAAGGTCCAGTAATACTTATTTATTTTCGTTCCTGTAGTTTGTGTGAATCCGTGTACAGGTAAAAATAAAAGCATTTTGGGAATGAGTTGTCTGCTTACTTAGACTTGCACTTGAACACTCAGCAAAGCCTACAGCTGATGCATGTATGCTCTGGGCTTGCGGAGGCAGCAGACCAAAGAAACATTAATTGAACAAATCACAAACTGTTTATGTGCAACCGCCAATCTGATTAACAACAGGGATGTGATAGAAAACAATGGCTAAAATTAGAAATGACATATTTTATTGCAACAACACAGGAACTTATCTTGATAAAGATCTCTCACATGATGAAATTAACCATTTCTTGGAGAAAGGGTCTTTGTATTCCTGACCAGTATCAAGCTATTGTTGTTATCATTTGTAATTATGGCTGGGCGATATGGAAAAAAAAACACCAGCATGTTTTTCAGTCGATATCTATATATAGATATGTTGCGATATAATTTAAATGTTCAATGTTATTCTTATGTACAAATGTTTTTTTATGCACAAAACAGATTTTTACTTGCTCATATAGTCATCCTGTGCCACTGTACTTATTCATAACGTTTCATACAAACCACTACATTGAAAAGGTATATATAATGTACATACCCCGCATTTTCTAAATTGAATTAGTATTCTTTATTTTTATTCTATTGCCTTTTTCAATTTCTTTGTTCTCCTATTACGACGTAACTTCATTGCTTCTTCTGCAACTCTGTCTGCAGGTGTGTGTGTGTGTGTGTGTGTGTGTGTGTGTGTGTGTNGTGTGTGTGTGTGTGTGTGTGTGTGCATGTGTGTGCGTGTGTGTGTGTGTGTGCGTGTGTGTCTGCTAGTCTCTGTCCCTCCTCACACACAAACTGATAACTACATATTTAGTTATTAATCAATGATGTTGGATCATGACTCTGGATTGTTCCAGTCACTTTAACCCTGATGTCCGGAGTGTGCGTCATGTAACGTCTCATGTTGTGTCGCAGGTTTAAACACGTATCTCATAAACTCTAGAGCGAATCCAACAAACACAAAGTAAACGTCAGTCCTGAGCATCTGTCTCAAAGCAGCGCTGGTTCTAAATATTCAGTGGTTGAAACAAGATAAAACTATGAACGTAGCTGAAAACATGAATCATTATATTCAGTCACTGTATCGATGCAGAGTCGTCCACCTCTCTGCAGCAGCCCAAACATTAACAAGTGTGCAGCTGCTTCTCCTACATTCTGTGCTGTGCTAACTTGATGTGGGTGTTGCTCTATTGCAGCCACATGATTGGTTCAGCGCGCCACTATTCTTATTTTAATTGGCTGTTTGTGTTGTCTGCCAAAACGTGGACGAAATGAGTTCTATTGACGTTATATTGATATGTCGTAAATTTCTATCAAGGAAAAGGTATACCGCAATAATTATCGAAATTGTTTTATCGCCCAGCCCAACTTGTAATTATCGTGTATGATAATAATTACAAAAACTACTTAGACTTATATACAGACTTTCATGGAACTCAGGGCCACTCTGTAGAGTAAGGAAAACTAAGAAGCCAATGATTAAAATAAATAAATACATAGATGACAAAAATAGCAGCCAACATTCAACAGCAGTTACAATAGCAATAGTCAATAGCTGTCAACATAGTAACACCTCTAACTGCTCAGAAAACTGTTAAGGACAATATGAAAATAACATGCTTCTAAGACACTATTTAACAAACACAAACTAAGAAAGCAAACTTGAGTGTTGAGTACATTTGCACTAGACAAACCAACTGGGGATTAACAGAACAAAGGCAACTGGAAAAGACAGTTTCCCTTTGACAGATTATCAAATATTAACATTCTAAAACGTGTTTACCGGCCAAAACAGGCTTTTCAACCACCCTCAAACAGCAGAGAGACAATGTAAACACATGATGGAAGTGGAGATGCTCGCTGCTCATAAGTAAAGACAGAATGAGTAGCCTACTCTTGTGTCATTCCCTCCCCCAGGGCTAAAGCACAGTGAGTAAGGCTATACTGGGAAATGAAGCTGTTACTGGAAAACAGAGCCCACCTATTTACTGGCATTGAATGGGGGCTGTGCATGTGGGAGGAGACAGGGGTACTAGATTAATGTATTCAAACTAAGGACAGATTATTCATTGTTATCATTACATTCCAATTTAGATTCAGCATGGTTAACAACTGTAAACCCAATCTTTTTTTTTGGTCTGCTTTAGTGTTAATTGCCGTTTGGAGTCAGTGTTCCCCACAGAATCTGATTCTATTCTATCTGTGGCAGCAGTGGCTGGGGGGTGGAGACACTAGGGTCAGGTCAATGTGGGCTGATCATTGTGATTGCCCAGTGGACACAAACACTAACACGGTGCATTCTCATGCGCACCTGAATGACAATTGCACAAAGGGGTGTAATGCTAAGGTCTGTCTGCCTGCTGAGAACTGCATGTCTGTGTAGGGGTGGTGCACAGCTATGGCGTAAACTACCAAAGTTATTTCAAGTTCTGCTGGCCTGCCGGGGATGGTCCACCAGTCTTAGCATGAAGGTAAATGTGTTTGCGAGCAGCTCTACAATGAAGCAGTGGTGCAAACCACTCCAGTTGCTGTCAGACATGCACTGGAGTCCAGACATTTTCACAGAATTTCCCAGAGGGGCTACATGTGAGAACCCCTTGTAAAATAACTTTAAAATGTCTGAGTGTGCACGATGAAAATACAGCAGGAAAAAAAAGAATACAAATATCTCAAGACGAAAAAAAGGGATGAAGATGTCAACTTGGAAAGACAACAAGATTCGAGAGCTTTTGGTAATAAAGGCCGGTGTCAATAGGCTGTAAAGAAAAACACATAATTTCTGCAGTGGAATTTATACATCATTTCCTGCCTCCTGCATGCCCCACACCTCGCCTTACAATTTCAGGCAACTTTCCTGTTGTTTTGAACGCATCTGAGCCACACACGCTGCTGCTCCATTCTTTATATGTGAAAGGCAAACTCAAGAAATTGCTGGAACACATTTTCCAGTGTGAACAGGGCTTAAGTTAGATATCTGCCCTGTTATTATTAGGAGAGTATAAACAAGAAAATGGCTTCCAGGGAAATATATTAAACATGCCTAATGGCCCTCAAGGATACCCACGATGCATTTTGGTCACATGTAATATAAACATTTGTCATTTAACCAGTGAACTCTACAGGTCAGCTGGTTTCAGACATGACCTCTGGGTAAAATCTGGAGAATTGGCTATGAAGTTTACCCAGAATTTGCCTTTCACACATGAACAGCGCAGCGGGAGGTTTTCTGCACAGACGTGTTCACGACAGCAACAAATCCTATGTTGTTATTCAGGTGAGAGATGCAGCAGCTGGGTGCAGAGGCAGGAAGTAATGTATTGACTGTGCTGCATAGTACTTTGATTGCATTTCCTTGTACTGCTTGCGACTGTGCAAATTATTGAGCTTAAAATCACAGAAAAATGGGATGCCAGAGACCAGATGATCCACTTTTCCCACAAGCGTTGTAGAAATACTTGCTTCTAGTCTACAAGGAAATCAAAACAATGACAACTGGTCTGCTTCCCTGTGACACCGGCACCAGCATGCTTTTTAAGGTTCAGTTAACAATTAACGGCATCCTGCCGTGTCACATGTGTTTAACTATGTATGTGACAACAGGTGACTAGGTGCACACACAGCTGTGACATAAGAGATTGGTGTGTTAACCACATCTGTTAATTGATCATGTAATATGGTAACAGAGCTCATATTTTTTTTAAATATACATTGAGTTTTTTGCATTCAGCTCTTGCTGAGTCCACTGACACTTCCAGGCCTCTTTTTGGACAAAATATTTTTCATGCTCAGGGCCAAGTGGATTCTTCTGCCTCGGGAAGAACTTCCTTCAGCTCCTCACCAGAAACCACAAGTGGTACAAAAGTGACATTTCATGACCCCCGCACTACTCATGATATATATTAATCTTCCTGGAGATATTACTAAACAAAGAAACGGTTGGTTTCCTGATTTATAGGGCTTTGAAATTTCACATGGACCTTTTGGGCCCAAGTTCCAACTTGTCTCTCCCATTATCAGAGAAAAGCTAGATCTCCATAATATGTTCTTGGATAGGACTTCTAACGGTCATAGAAACATGTGTGCAGTTACTACATGGGCCTCTCCCTGCCCTGAATGGATGGTGTGGTACGGATTAACCAGACTGCATGCCTATATGTGTGTGTGTGTGTGTGTGTGTGTGTGTGTGTGTGTGTGTGTGTGTGTGTGTGTGTGTGTGTGTGTGTGTGTGTGTGTGTGTGCGTGCATGCAGGGTCAGTGTGTGTGTAAATCCAGCTCAGCACACGTGCCTATTTGTCTCTAGGGAACTAGGTGAAGAGCCACTCAGCTCCCTTTGAACCTAAGGCCATATGGCCCCCACTATGGCTCTATACTACACACATAATGCTATTACACTATAGGAGTGTGTTTGAATGTGTGTGAGCGTGCACATTAAATAAAATATGCTTAAGCTGAAAAACTACTCAACCAGTAGGGCAGGTTTAGATGCATTTGTGAAACATTTGTGAAAGGAATGGGATGTAAATGTTCATTTACACCCACTTTGCTATTCAACTGAGTGAAAACACACAACTCTGATTCTGACTTTATAGTGGGAGAGATTTTATTTGTATGCTCTACTCACCTCATTGTCATGGTGTTGACAGAAGCTCATGCGGTCCTGGAAAAGAGACAGCAGGGCAAAGTTGTTCTGCAGGGACTGGGCGAGGGACACGGACACCCCTGGCTGGCCCGGGTTGCTGTTGGCGTTCACCCGGCCCAGATGGAGGCTCTCCCCCAGGCGCTCAATGAAGTGGTCCTTGGTCAGCCGCACCCGCTGGTGTGCCCGCACACAGTTGTCACACAGATATTCCTGGCAGTCAAGGCAGTGGGAGGTGGCTGGGTTCTCCTCATCGCAGGAGCTACACTGAGGCTCACCCAGGTGGTGGGGGTGCAGCAGGCCTCGATGGGTATGATGGAAGCCAGAGGAGCCCACACCTAAGCCTCCTCGGTGGTGATGGTGGTGGTGGCCGTTCTTGCTCTGGATCTGCTCCTCGGAGCTCACCACCACGTCCAGCAGGTTGCTGAAGAGGAAGGTGGAGGAAGGCAGGGAGTCCACGCCGGCCTCGGAGATGGACACCTTCTGGTCACAGGTGGGGCACCGCAGCTTCAGGGGGTCCCCGGGACTGCGCTGGCCCTCGAGGCACTGCCTGCAGAAGGCGTGGAGGCAGGGCAGGACGTGGAGTCGCCTGGTGGTCTGGCTGGAGGACGATGAGGTGTGCGAGGAGGAGGAGGAGGTAGAAGAGCTGGAGGAGATGGGAGCAGAGGAGCCGCACAGCTCCTTGCAGAGCGGGCACGTCTGCAGGTCTGAGTCTGGAAACGAAGCCATCTGCAGCAGCGTTACCGAAACACGGGCTCAGTTCAAAACTTGCGCAGCGACGAGAATGAGGTATTCATCTGAGGACACAGCGGCCCGTCGTGTTGTGTAGAAAACAATGTGCTGATTGAGGTAGATTCATGAGGTAATAAAGTCAGTTCAAAAGTGAACAGGGTGCTGAACGACATACAGATCCCTGCCTGTATTATATAACTCGGACCTGATGCAAAGCAGGGAGGCAGCCACTTGTCCACAGATAGTTTCTGAGGTAACAAAAAGAGAAATAGTTCGTCAGGCTGCTGAGAGAGATTCGCGTGTGTAAGGCTGAAGCATCATCCCGTCAAATGGACGATGTTGGCGCTGCTGCAGAGACAAAAGTGTCCGATTGTGCTTTGTGGAGGCTCATAAAATAAACCCGAGGCTGGAGTGACACTGGATCGGCGTTGAAGTACTGTGGGCTCCGTCTCTCCTCCCCCACCGACTCGGCAACATGACTGACGGGGCTCTGCGCCACAGAACAGCTCCCACACCACCACCAAAGTATTTTCCAATATTGGTTTTTTTTTTACCCTCCACCTCAGGCCAGTGTCGTCTCTGTGTTCTCGTGTTGTTTTCGGACTAGTCCACCATCGGGGCCGGGAGCTCCGGCGGCGTCGGGCGCAGCCGGCTGTCGGTAGGTGTTCGCAGCGCGAGCCTCGGACCGAGGGACCGTGAATTATTCATCAAAGCGACGGTGTGACGGCGCGCCTCGGCTCGTTAAGGCGCCAGAGACAAACACGGATGGAGCCCCAACATCCGCCACCAGCCCCGGCGGGTTCCACTTGGTGAAGAGGCCGATTCCAGGGCTCCTTCTCCCCCGTCCGACGGCTGCTCTCCCTCTCGGGCTCTCTGCGTGGAGGAATGCGCAGGGATTTGTTTCTCCTCCGGCGGCGTACGGAGAGAAAAAATGTGCCCTCAACCGCGGAAACCTCGGTGCGGCGACCGTGTGGCGCCCAACCACGTCCCTTACTCGCTGCTGTGGCCGTTGTTTACTCTCTGCTGAATTCTCGTCAACATGAACATGTGCTGTGGCTGCGCGGGCTGCAGCTCCTCGAGCCGCTCTTATCCGACTGAGAGGAAAAACATGGACCCACTTCCGCCCCACGGCCAAGAGAGGTGTGCACCGAGCGCTCGTGCACGAGAGAGGGGGGTGGGGGCGTGGTCTTGCGCGCGCAACGCTCACGAGCATCAGTCAGCTTCGAGTGTCAAGGTGACAGGGCAGCAGGGGCGCATCTATGTTTTTTCTAAATCAGGGGCCACACTTTTCCCAGAGGAGCCCATCACTTCCTTGTTCAAGAAACAATAAATCGTCATATTATATTTACCAAATAGCCTCGTATGTTTTATAAACCTGGCTAAAAATAGGCGAATGACCCCTTTTTCTTTGCCATTAGGAGTTTGACAGTCGTTTCCCCCCCTGGTTCATGTTAGACATCGCAAACCTCTGAGAATGTGAATCAATCAATTAGACTTTATTTGTACAACTCATGTTCAGAAATCACAATTTGCCTCAAAGTGTTTAATAAAGTGCAGCTTGCTCTGCCTTTTATCCTTTACTACAGTAAAACATTTTAACTGGGAGTTAGAGGGTTAGGGTGAAATCTAATGTAAACAGAGATGTGTCTCAATGTTACAAAGTGTTTATACAAAAGAAAAAGTCTGAAAAGAGATGATAGGAGCAGCACTAAAGCTTGCAAAGATAAAGATATTGACAGTCATGATAATATATGTGATGTATATGGAAATAATTTATTTTTTTTACTCTACTACTTAGTTATGTGAGGGGAAAAAAACAAGAGAAATATGTCAGTAAGATGCAATATGTAGAATAAACAATATGTAGAATAAACACAGAATACCTATTATATCATTTTATATCAATTTTTACAGATAAATCTGGACATTTTTAAGGGACCCCTTGGCAGTGTGTCACAGACCCAAGAGACCCTCATTTGCGAACAGCTGGCCTATATAATGTCATAATTTGAAACCCACTCACATCTGAGTCACCGAAATCAGATGCGTTATTTGAAGCAAGTCAGCAGTGGTTAGTCATTTATCAAAATAGTTGATTAACCGATTCATTTTCCGTCAGTCATCTGAAAGATAAATCAAATTACTTGCTCGTCTGTTGTCCACCTTTGATGGATAAAAAATATACTTTGAAATCAAACTGACACAAGCCTGTTACAGCCTTTAACATTCAAATCAAGTCTTCTCTGTTTAGGTTAAAAATAACAGAAATCAATGTTGTGATTATGATGCTATATTTGAAGGGCAGTAACAGAAACCCATCCTACACAAGAATAGGCATATAAGCAAGCAGTTAGTGGAGCGGATTTTCTTTACTTACAAAAAGGTCAAAACTAACTGTCTGGCTACAGCATATGTGGACACATCACTTGACACAGGTCATGTAATGCCATTTATCCATGAGTGAAATGAAAGAACAGTGGCTCAGGCTAAAGACGGGTGATGGTAAGTTGATTTACAGGAACCTCACGGGGTGATTAGAGAAAGGACGGGGAGCAAAAAAAAAAAAAAGGATGGATGGCTGGAAAGCATGCCAGAGGTTATGAAAGATCAATGAGAAAACATTTCTCCCCCAGACAGTCATCCATGAAGCGTGATAGTTCACACAGGTCCCACATACAGCTGATGAAACCCCATGATGCTGTCTGCACAATTATTACAGCTCAACTACTGTTGCGGATGTTTGCAGAAGAATTGATTCTTTCACATCACAAATGCAGCATCCTCTCCGGTATGACACTGCGGTCTGAGGGCCACATGAGGTTACAGAGAGGCCCACACAGACACAGAAACACTTGTGTGTTAGTGAGTACTTCTCTCAACGACAGACACACACACACACTGACGCCTTTCTGCCCAATACAGTCTTTTTCCATTATTTACAGCATATATCATCTGATGTGGGCCTCTTGACAATGTTAACATGAAATAATGTCTCAATGGACGTATCTGCCTGCAGGGTCTTTCCTGGAACATTTTTTACTTTGACTTGCCCGAGCTTCCTTCTCAGAACGGTCCCTGAAAGAAAAGGCTTACAAGTACTAGGAATTAATTAATTTACATCTGTGTTCTTTGTGCCCGCGAAATCATCTTATTTCTCTTTCTATTTCACAAATCAAACTATAAACATCTCTTTGAGAAGAATATAAATTGATTTCATCTTGAAGGGTAACTTCACCATCAGGTGAGGGGCAGTTTGCAGGTACACATGGGATTGACACCACAGTAGGGCAATATTATGCTTCTCTTGGCCGTTATTCTTCAACATTTTGACAAGGAGAAAGAGTAAGACCGTTGTTCTCCAGCACAACTACAGAAAACCTTTTTGTAAGGTGTAATTAATTTGCCTAACATCTGTATACCATCCAAGAAAGCCTCACTAGACTGTCATTTAGTCTAGCACTTCCCCCTGGTGGTTGAGTAGCTCAGTGCACCTTTGGATTAGAAATCCCCTATAAATTAAAGATTCATTGATTGAAACTCAAGCTGTAAAGGAAGCATTTATTTAAATTCATTTCAATCTGTGACTCAATTAAATTATGCATTAAAGACATAAAAGACAGATTTTTTTTTCGGTGTGAAAACGTCTGTTTATTAAAAATGGATTTGCATGTTGCTACTTAGAACATTTTCTCATTGAACCATAGACACTGAGTAAGCCATTAGGCCGAATACGATAGAACTTAAACAAGATTCTGTGCTGGTTAAATACCAGGAAATGACATGTGATTAATGACAATGTGGGTCAATGGCAGCCATGTAGATCTGCTTTACCCTGAACACTTTGTAAGAAACCGAAAATATCTAATAACTGTGGATATAAGTAAAATACTTAAAGCTGCATTTTTTATTCTTCTGTAGAGAAGAAAAGAATGTCTCAATGACAATGCAGCTATCCCAATTTTATTTTTCTATGATTATTAATTCAACAAACTGAATACAAAGATCACCAGATATGTGGAAGTCAATGTGCTGTGTAAAGTCAGCCTTGTGTTTCAAAGTCATGCATTATGAGGCCATTAGGCCAATCAGACACCGCAGGACGCTCTGAAGAAAAGCCTAACACATATGCAAGTAATCAAGCTTCTCCAACCCCCCACCCCACACACACACACACACACACACAGGTGCGGCAGCATGAAGAGGTAAACCACATATCTTCAACAAAACAGGAAAAGGCCACTGGAGGTGACGGATGATATTGGTTGACTCTAATGTGGCCAGAAATCAGTTTCCTGACACATGGATGCATGGACCTTGACTTCAGGGACATCAACGCTGATGACTCCTGTTGAGTGTAACTATGGCAACTGCAAAATAGAGATCATCTTTTGACATCACAAACACATCCTCCATACAAACACAGACAGTTGCATTTCAGTCTGTGACGTTAAGAAAAACAACAGAAGCAAACGTTTTGGACAAGAACAACTTCTTATTAAAACTTCGTACAAAGAAAATCAATCAAGTGCTTCCAGGGAGTGCAGGAAAACAACCGTGTTCGGGTCAATGTGTCCACACTTCATTTGCCCACAAATGATTGTGGCGGAGCCATCGTCGAGCAGAGAAAATGTCAAGTGTGAAAACTTGCTCCTGTGAAGAGTTCACTTCTGTGTAGTGAACCATTAGCTTGGGCTGAGGGATACAAGCTGCAGAGAGGAGGCGGCTACCAGCTAAGAGGTACTCACTCTCGCTGCTTTGAGTCCTGGAAGGGGAAGAAGAATCAGCATGATACCATACACATAGACGTGTCCCAATTTGGGGGCTGCATCAGTGGCCCTGTTCACACCTGAGAGATCGGATCACAAGTGGTCAGCTTCATGGTTGTGTTCACACCTGGCAATGTAATGCATTCTGAATGTGTCTCCTGTCACCACTGTGGAGATCCAGATCAGATCTTTTTTGTCCACTCTGTATGTAAATTAACAGGCGTGTCATTTTTGTTTGTGAATACTGTTGTTTTTAGCCAGTGTGCGCTTACAAATGTGTCCGATGTCCCTGTGTTTGAGGGTCTCAGCCAGCGAGAGGGGAGCTAGGAGGACCTGAATGATTCATGTGCAGCTGTGCGAGTTACAGGAAGGAGTTAACCATATAAATCAGTGTGAGGTGGTCAGAGTTGATACTGTGGCCACAAACAACAAAAATGTTTGATTTATTGAGAAACTGTAGCAGGTCAGAGACGTCAGCTGAGGAGGTGGTCCTTTACATTTAGCCCTCTCATATGTGACACATGTGTCCCAAACCACCTCTGAATGTGGCTGAGTGATCAGATCTCAGGACATATTTGGATACGTTCAGACCTGAACTTAGTGCTGTCCACTTGTGATTGGATCATTTAGTACAGATTTTAATATCAGGTCTGAACAAGGTCCTTTAGAGGAGTAGATGGCCGAATTGAAACTAGACAATCTGATCTGCAGAGGATTTTGTACTTCAATGTACTTCCTGAATTGGGACACAGCTCACATAAATTAAAGATGACTTACTCAAACACACGTTACCGTTTCAGAGTGATGCTGAGGCAAGATGTGGTGGTCTCTGAAATTTGGAGGATGGCCGCTGCATTGACAGCGATGAACATCTCAAAGGCAAGAGCCAGCTCCACCTCCCCCAGATGACAGGGGACGATCAACGCCATGAAACCAGGGGGGGCAGACACACCAGGGTAGTACCCCACACTCAGAGAGTCTGATGAAGACACACATTGGTGCAATTGAATTAATTTCCACTGACAACTCTCAACATCATTTAATTGTCTGATCTAATGTGAACAAAAATGAAATGTAGCTGATTCTTCATGATCAATATCAAACCAAGTGGAACAGCCATACTCACGTCTGAAGACTTCCCGTGCACGGAGCCAATGGTTTTGCTTGCCAAGTTTGTGGAAAAGAATCTGAAGCATCGCATGGTCAACTGCCAGGTTGTGAGAGAGCATGAAGTCTACTGTATCTGAGGCTACAGGAAGGACTTGTCTGTCCATGCACACTCGTAGATGAGAGTCAAACAGAGGGCCGTACCTGGAGATATCAATCAAGTCTGGAGAAAAACATAGTGACAAGTACACACAATCATTTTGTAGCCTGTAGCCAACATTCATCTACGCGCCTTCAATGGAGAGAAAACAGGACAAAATTGAGAATAGAGGAAAGAATATATTGGTGTCAAAAGCCCTGTGTTTGTATTACACATTTATCTGAATTTCAAAATATATTATGGCATGATGGGTAAAGGCTACATCCACACATGCTACTTCACACTACCAAAAGGTCAGTTATCTCTTATATTATCTCATACGCAGTACAAACTCAATAAGACTAAGTTGATGTAACAATTATCGCAAAAATAGTCACTCCTCTGCCTCAGGTTTAAAATTCATTATCTATAGGTTGTGTTCTCTCACCATTTGGCATTTTAATTCCAGGGAGATTACAGAGAACCTCCAGTGTGTCCCGATGAGAAGTTTTCTCAGCCAGGCGCATCAACACATGCTTCCTACTATCCAGATCTGCAGGCTCACATGGCCATGAGTGCGAACTCAGGAACCATTTGTTTTCTGCATTGACAGATACATAAAGATAAAAACACTTTGCACTATGTTCGGGAACATTCTTTTTGCACTTCTAGTCTGCAGCTAAATATATGAGAGATATATAAAATAAAATATATATTAATATGTATTAATTGTTAATGTTCCCCTGTTCTTTTGGATTCAGCGATAGAACAAACTGACAGACTCAAAAAGTAATCAAAATGTGCTTAGAACCTATTAGGGGTTTTTCTCTAACACCCACATCAATCTTAAGTAATTTATATTTAGATTCTATAAAAGTCTCCCTCAGTTGTAATTTTACCATTTGATATTATTATCTGATGTATTATGAAATCAGAGACCACTCATTACTTCCCATTTAACCCAGAGTGTCACCTATTACCTCGTAGCGTGTTCAGAGCCCCCTCCACACTGCCACTCAGGAGGAAAAGCTCGGTTGCCACAGTGACCAAGTAGCAGCGTGAAGCTCCGTCTTCATTCCCAAACAAACCCTTCAGCGTTGAGTATCTGACTTTTGACAGGGACAGCATCTCCACCACCCGCCGACCCTACAGTCATAGACACAAGAACACAAGCACAACACAATACTAACATGCAAACATAACCAATTTTTACATCTGTACAAATACAATCACATCTTTGTATATTTGCAGTTATTCTGTGCCGACATTATCAAAAAAGGATCCATGAGTCATCCAGTCCATTCCTCCTTTTTACAATGTGGAAACCAGTTTATTCAATTGTTAGTTTACATTTTATTCATTATTTTCAGATGGGTTATTTACCTTGGCCCATTGATGTGTTTTGTGATATCTTAGCATGAGTGAGACTCCAATTCTGCCAAAAAAACTCTGGATCAGGGTGTCACCCTCACTCGGACACACTGAAAAATAAGAATCATGATATCATCATTCTTCAGTAATCACAAATTAATAAATAAGATCTTTTTTAGAAAATAAGGGAGCAAGGAGTTTCTTTTACCTGTCTCAGCAAAGGTAGCAAAGGGCAGTGACAGCTTGTCTTTGCTCTCTGACAGGAGAGCTATGGCGATGCGGCCACTGATTTGTTCCACTTGGTTGGGATGATGGCTGGATTGGCAGATGGACCTGAACACCTTTCCCATCCGTCTCCAGTCCTCCTGCTTCGTACAAAGCTGATAAACACAAAATACAACGCTACAATGACAAATTAAACAAATTTCATCCTTGTGAAAAAGTTGTCATAATTAATCTAGCGCGTAGTGGTGTAACGGACCACAGTTGTTCAAGTGAATCGCAGAGAGTAATTCAAAACGTTACATATTAGATTAAAATACAGTTCAATTTTCGATGTCACCTTTCAAACTAATTGCGTAAATTTAGGTGGTGGTGAAAGCCATGGCTACTGGAAGAGTGGAGCATATGGCTTTGTGCTTACATATACTGATGATGGGACATAAGACGTGAAGAGTGTTTCCCACAGAACTGATTCTGACAGTGGTTGTACCTTCCTGTGCATGTTGTCCACTCTCACATGCAACATATCCAAGTGAGAGGTACAAAGACTAGAGAGAGACAGAATTTCTTGTGTGTGAGCGAACTGCACAGAATGCCACTTGCTGGTACATCTGGTTGTCCGTGTGGATGGTAATAACTTTATGGACGAGAGAGAGAGAGGCCGAGCGAGCGCACAGGAACGAATAAAACCAAAAACTTGAAGATCTCTTAAGTTATGATGAGATGAAAAAAGTACTTTTGGATCATTATGAAATGGTGGCAGGACAAATTGGAATATGGCAGGCTGCCACAGTCTTTATAATTAATTGGAAACACTGAAGATACCACAAAAACAAGAAAGGTGATTTTTATTTACTGTTGTTCATACTGCACTTCAAATCAACAACTAAATATTAAACGTTTTAATTTGAAACTTGTTTTAAACATTGAACACCTGGAATGCTGCAAAATTAGTTGTAGTTGTTCTTTAAGTCCTTTAAAAAAATAGAAAGCTACATTTGTCTCCATTTTGTTTCTTATGGGAAAAATGACCAGTTTCATGACTAAAAACCACAAACCATGAGTCACCCCTACAACTGAAGTAAGAACTAACCTCTATCTCCACAATGGATTGGGCCAGATTCAGGTACTCTGGAAAGGGAGCACTGGGGATAACCATTTACATATATATATTAAAAACAAACAAACATCAATTAATACGACTTGTCAAAAACATTTCAGAATTAAGAATCATACTGATGATTAGTAAAGAAATGACATTGATGTGTGGGAGCTGAGGAAGTTCCACTCACTTGAGGTTGGCAGTCACTGAAACAGGAGAGTTCGAACGGATTGCCTGCTGGAACTCAGGAGTAATTTTTATACTTTCAAACCAATCCAAACTCAGCACTAGACCTCCACTGGCCATCTATCAACACATGCACAAAATTAATTTTCACACTTACCAATTAAAAGTACAGATCCTGCTGCCATACAGTAAGCAGAGTGTGTTGGAACAGAGATACCTTGAATGTGAGCCGCATGAGTTGAGGTAAAAATCCCACAAGGCCCTTCTCTCTCACCAAGTCAAACAGGGCCAGCAGGAACTCATGGCCAGGCTAACAAGAGAGGAGGACATCTATGTTTAGGATGTTCTGCCCTCTACTGGAATACAGAGTGTACTGCAGTGTGACAATTGTGGGGAGATGGATGAAAACCAGACTGACCGCTATCTTATGAGCCAAGCTGACACTAAGGACTGAGAGGATATCAGACACCATGCAGGCTTTGAGCAGGGACCAGAGGAGTGACACAAACACTGGCATGGAGAAGAACACACCTGGTGGGTTGTTCTGGTAGTAGCCTGTAAATACAGCACCTGCAGGTGAAGACATTTGAAAGGACAATAGTCATGGAGAGAAAAGGTAATAAAGACAGTTATGCCAGAACGAATACATTTCACTCAACAATAACAACAGCATAGATGTTGGTGCATCCTGCCTTCAAATTAAGTGTGATATACAACCACACTTTCAAACATTTAGCTTCAGGCACTTTGTTATCACTTTGTTTAATTTCGAGGCAGCTACTAGCTAACTGTAGGCTGATGTTATGTGCTGTCAGAGTCACGTAGAGTTTGTTGCCGCCGGAGTTAAGTGTAAGGTTATGCATGCATACTTTGCATGTATGGTGATGTTTATGCTGCCTGTAAGCATGGCAACCTTTTCAGTACAAAGCTCAGACAACGAAATGAGCCACCAAAATCTGCACTGTGATTCAGTCCAGTAAGTATCGGCCTTGTGAGGAACAAACCCAACCCATGAACCCTTTGTTAGCAGTGCCCATTTGGAGTTAAAATAGCTAGATAAAAATAAAACTTGCCTGCTTTCTGGACACACGTTGGATTTTGGATGAACCGCATCACAGTTTCAACACAGAACTGGAAGAGAGGAAAAAATGAACACCACAATTCTGGATTTACACATGTAACTCCAGCTAAGGCTCAGCAGAGAGGGATGTTGATGTCTACACAAATCAAAAAGCTTATAATGCATTTAAAGCAACATCTGTGGTTTTGATGAGTTCAGTGAGCTCCTCCCGAGCTTACAAGTTTGCAAACTTAATCCAACTGCTCAAGAACCTGCTTAATATTCTGAGGTTCATCGTCTACTTTTCTATAGTGCTTCAGTGTGTACAGCCGTACAGCGACGTGCTGCCATCAAGCGATGAAAATGTGAATCATGCTCTCTTTGTACCTTTTCATCTCCGTCCACAGGCACATGCTTGAATCGACACATCTTGAATCCACAGGACAGAGACTCACTGAAGTACTGTCTGCAGTACTGAGGGTTTAGAGGAGATATTGAACTGTATGCTTCACATCTTTAGAACACATAAACACAATAACCTCCAACTGTGCACACGTCAATAGTAGGATTTCAGAAAAATGTATGCAGTATCCCAAGCTTAAAAAAGTAAGATTCCAAGATATGAATACGTAAATGAGTCAAATGTGCATTTAAACTTTCATTATTCATCCTCCGGAGTAACTATTAGTAACTACTCTCACAATCAGAAATATTCTAGAAAATATAATATAAACTAAAGCCGATATAAATGTCAGTATTTTTGTTTTGTATACTTACAACAGTAGATTTATGGCGCCTAATTTCTGTCATGTTTGCCCGGTTTGTGATCAATGGCCCTGCAGACAGCAGAGCAGAGTTTAAGAACAGCCATGAACAATACTTTTAACTCTGGAAAATTGTATGGAACATTTATGGTGACAAGAAGAGGCATTAACTTTGAAACTGTATCCCATTTTTATTTTCCCCCTCACCATTTCTTAAGATCATATGTGCAGAGATGTTATGTGGGGGGTTCACTGCCTGGACGGGCTGACTCCTATTAAAGGACATCAACAAGGTGATAGATAGATAGAGAACAGGTGCAAGAAACATTTCATATGATGTGTGCAAACATGTACCTTTCCAGGCTCCAGTTCATATTATTGTTGGCATCAAAATGACCCTGTTCAAAAACACGAAAAAGATTTATTAGCAGACCAATGTCCCTGTATCCGTGTTGTTGCATTAAATTATGAATGGGACACTTTTGCAATACAAGTCTGCTTCTCCTTGTTTGTCATTTTGAATTTTTGTTTTGAAAAGCAGGGCAAGCATGCAAGATAGATCCTGTCCAACCTGACCATCTTTAAATTTTTTACAATGACAAAGATGTTTCATTGCCCCAGTGTGGGATGCGATGAGTAGCTGAAAAACAGTCCAAGGACACGCATTCTATTCCTCTCTTTTACACAGACCTAGTCTGACCCAGCAGAGGCTGACTGTGGATATAACCCTGGCACTGGCTTCACATATTGCACACCTACAGTTAGTTTGCCTCATCTTTTCACTCTGGCAGCAGCGGCAAGCGCCAGTGACACTGACATGACCAATGTACGGGTCTGTTCCCCTTCACAGGAGCTTCTGCGATACCGGTATAATGCATTTAAAGCAACATCTGTGGTTTTGATGAGTTCAGTGAGCTCCTCCCGAGCTTAAGTATAGGCAGGCTTCACCTCTAGGGCATGAATGATCAACTTAGGTTTTTTATCAGTGATCACAACATATGTCTTAATGTTTTTTTGCTGCATTTTCTCTGCGAGGATTGAATTGGATTATATTATGGACAGTGATCGCCCCGTCACGTGAAAATGTTATTTTGGGTTTCGTAACACCAAGATGATTGTGATTGGTTCAAGAAATACAAACATGTCCAGGCAATTTTCCAGTCAATAGCAGACTGATATTGTGTGCAGCCAAACCATTCTCCAGTACTGACTCAGCGCGGAAAAGACCCACTACGTTACCATGATTGTGGAAAGGTTGCTGTTACATTGAGGTCTCCAGGGTCTGCTGTTACTCTCCTCTGTAAAATACACACAGAAATAAAACTTCAGGATGATCATTACATAAAATACATTACATTCAAGCACATTCAATGGTAGATGCACTTCATTTTTTTTATGTCCGTTGTGTGTTAGAAATGTCATTAACGGGAACACTCGCTTGCAGTGAATCCTTCAGATAATATCCTGCTATGTTCTTGCACGGGGTCAATCAGACATTATTACTATGGGGGCTGGCAGGAGAAAGTCCAGAGATTGTCATGGGCTTCCAACTCAGAAATTTGCGATCTCACATACAGCCCCTCCGGAAATTTCAGGAGATTATCCAGAGTTCAGTGCAAGACTGAACTTAATAAATGTACTTTTTAAATTTTTTTTTATTAGAAACTTCTGCTTGTTCTTTTGGCTTAAATTGACTCATGGTATCGGCTCTGACAAGCCATTGGTTGATAAGTATATTATGCCACAAAATATAAAATGTATATAATGGATTCTGACTGGTGCATTGGTTGTACCTTTGATATCAGGACTGCCATTGTGAAGATCTACAATAACTGTTGGTGTCCATCTGAAACACAGAAGAAATAGTAATAATAATTTCAGTGATAATAGACAATGCAAGTCATCTGTGACTATTACATCAACACAATTCTTACCTCGGTAATAGAGTTTTCACTGCTCCAGCAGGTCTGGTTTTAGGGGCATCACTGACTCTTGTAGGACCCAACTTTAGCAGACTTTCCTCAGGTAGATTTTCAAACAGCTCTGGGTCAGGGATCACATTGACAAGCAAGATATCACGTTCATAAGCGGTGAACTCATCAAGAAGGCTGCTGTCAGTACCACCAGCTGCTTCCGCTTCAGTTTTATGCCTCTCACTGCCCACCGTTTCAGATGGGGATCCTTCATCGCTGCTGGGAGAAGAGCAGGGTTCTGACAAAGATCTGTCAGACTGTTCCACGTCATCTTCATAATCAATGTTATCCTGGCTTCCCTCTCTGAAATCGTCATTCATAGTTTTAAATTTTGATGAGGCTCCCTCCATTTCCTCATTTGCGTGTCCTTCATGTTGATGACGGTCAAAATTCTCCCCGCCATTCTGATGATCACCTTCACCAATCTGTGGCATGTGATATCCTGGTAGTGTTGTGTGTTTACTGTTGTCATTTTTCATCTCCTCCTCTAAACAGCATTGTCTCTGGGGCAAGGAGCTTCTGAGCAAGTGCCATTGCGGTGAAGCGACAGGAGAAAGAAGTGGTGGAAGCAGGAATTCATTTGAATTAGTTTCGCCACACTTTTCCTTGGTAATGTTTTGTAATGACGAACTGCCTCTTCCAAAAGTAACAGCATAGTTGTGGTTCATGGGGCTTTGGTTATAATATGGCTCCAGTTTTGGTGGACTCCTGTCAGTGAGAATTTCTTTCTCTTTATCACCCTCTTGCCTACCTTGAGGTAGGAGGAGGAAGGATTGACATGAATGACAGGAGTCACAGTTGTGCAAAGAAAAAAATGGAGATGTAGGTGAAGGACATGAAGTCATTTGAGTTTCTTCACTGTGAAACAATGGTTTTTCTACAGCGCTGATAACTCGTTTGACTGAGGACACCGGTGACGTGCATGCAGATCGAGCTTCTGCCGACTCAACAGCTTTGACTTTCTCAAGTAGGAACACTGAATGTGGGCTCAAGCCACTGTGTGTGAACAGAAATGATGTGGGAGACGCAGTAGTGGTTGTTTCCCAGTCATTCAGGCCTAACACTGAGGGGGATGGAGTAGACGTGGAGCTGTCGGTATCTGGTCCATTAGCTGGCATGCTTAAGGCCAAAGCTGTGTCAGTGCCAGGCGCTCTATCACACTGACTTGAGGTAGAAAGTGTGGCCGAATCTGAGAGCAGACCGGCAAATGATTCTTGAGCGTCCATAAAGTGAGGTTCAAACTCCATGTTATTGCTGTCTGAAGAGTATGAAGACATATGACTGTCTCTTTTCCCATTTCTCTTGGCTGTAATGCACCCTACATCCTCCTTTTCTTCATTGTGATGAGAAACCTTGTGGGTTGTGTCTGAAGAGGTCTCTGCAGGTGCATTTGGGAGCACATCATTAGTTTGGCTGCTCAGCGAAGCTGACTGAATTTGATTTATTGAAGAGTCACTATTGTTTCTAGCTGATGGATGAATGTGTTCTGCTTGACAGGCTGTAGTGCCAGTATTTGCTGTAAGGGTACGGCTTGTGTTAGAGAAGGGCCAAGACATGTATGTCCGTGCACAAGAAAAATGTTGTTTTCTGCTATAGACCCTCACTCTCTGGCAGGTGGATGACTCTGGTTCATCTGCATCCGCCTCGCTCATCGGACAGAACAGTTGTGATGACATTTGTGCTGCGTCACTTTCTCTGGGTTTGTCTATCTGAACCCAATGTCTCGCATGGACGCAGTTTTCTTTCATAGTTGAAGTGTGAGTGCTGCAGCTCCCAAATGTGAGTTCCAAACATGACTGACTGTTACCAGACATCTCCGAACATGTTTTCTCTTTGTCTATAAAGTAAGTTCTTGCTGTGTCATTGCAACTAATGTTTTTTGAATCAGCGTCGGAAGGCATGCTTTCTTTTGTCATGCTATACCCAAGCTTTGTTCTTTTCTTACTGGAAATCTCTGCTCCAATGAGTTCATAAAGTGTTCCAGGGTCCTTCTGAACATCTGTCATGTCATGTTTGAAGCAATGCACAACCTTGTTCTTGAGAACATCCGGTAACACATAGCCACAATTGTGACTGTATGGGTGACATTTTTGGGCTATGTCACAAAGCGTTACCTTTGCGTACTGGTCTACCCATGTGACAATCTCCTTAGAGGCATCAGTGACTGGGTTTCCTTTATTAATTTTTAACTCATCTGCAGACTGCTCTGGCCCTGGGCTACTGCTTTTTTGCTCCTTCTTAACCAGTGTCTTCCTCTGAGGGGAAATGTATTCACAGTCCCCACAGGGACCACAGCTGGAGGCTGAAACAGTTCTTCTCGAACACCCCTGTGAACCAGTGGGGCTTGGGTGTGTATTCCTATTTTTGTCTGTAAGTGGAAACAAAGAGAAGTCAAGCAGTGCAAAATGAATAAAACAAAAACAATGACAATTTAAAAATTTGGAAGAATTTTCATCCATTTGTTTGTTTTTTTCGTTTAGCACAATGGATCCCCAACAAAATAGTTTGAAAATACTTCAAATAAAGCATTGATTTCACTTTAAGTTGCTTGCTCCAAACAAGTTTAAGTGTGAAACCTTCTTTAGCGAATTTTATTGCAAAAAGCTGATATGGCTCATTATTGTCCATTACTGGATGTTATAATCAGGAAATACCCACTTCAACCAGGGCTTGAAAGAACTGCAGTTGTAGTGAAAGATTTCCCCCCCATCATTAACCACAATCGGCAGCATGGAGCCATTTCCACATGTAAACAAACATAGCCGTATAAAGGGGACATTTACACATTATTGACAGTGTTTCCAAAGAACGATTTACAAGAGGTAAGTTTCAATGATGGGGACTAATAATTTGATTAGAAAAAAGTAAATCTGGCTCAATTCCCACACTTCCAGTTAAGACCAGTTGTATTACTAAAGCCATTTTCAGAGATGAACACCAGAGGATGTCCACACAATTGGGTCTGGGGTTTCGCAGCAGGTTCAGGTGAGGGGTGGTGCAACATGCAAAGACAGGGTGTAACGTATAAATTCTGTTGAAGAGATTTTTGTTTACAGCAGATGCTGACATCTTGGTCTGAATCCTCTACGTGTATGGCACCGCTTACTTTTACTGACAAAAAGCAGATATTTGTTTGTTTGGGTTTATTTTCATGATTCTGTCACATATTAGATTAGAATTAGAAAAGTCATCATCACACCCACTCACTTGCTGGGAATCCTGCAGAGAATCCCCTGCTATATTCTCTCATCGCCTCATTCTGACATTCTCCAGAGTTCTTACTAGGAGGCTGGCTGGAGAAACTCCAGAACCTCCGATTCAGATTCTCTGATGTTTAGTGCTTGTCATAAGGAATTTAGACTGTCCTCCAGGTCGTGGATCAAATAGTCCTAAAAGTCTCAACACCGATTTGACCCAAAGCCATCACATTGTGTTTCTGAGTCACCATTTCACAATATGATAGGTTTAAATTAGAAGTGGTAAAATGGAGAAGATTACACCACCCCAATGGAAATGTGCAAATATCCACCCCAAATAAATGATCATTCTTATTATCATATAGTATAAAACCCCAACTTCACTCACCAAGAAGAAATCTCCAATACTCTAAGCTAAATGGAAGTGACCCCTGCAGAGGAGCTCATGTGAGCTGACTTGTGAGTTTTATCTTCACGGGTATTTGCGCCGGATTTTATTTAAACCTGGATCGAAATATACCCGAGGATGGTAACTGCTGCTCAACGTGGCCCCCTGTGCTACATGTAGCCACGCGCTAGCCTCCAACGTGCAGCACTTCAGGTGATAAGGTGAGTAAACACAAGATTTAGCCGCGCAGTTAGCTTAGCATTCTCTCACTATCCGACAGTGGAAGCTAAACAAAATGCAGCTCAGCCGAAAGTTAGCTTAGCGTTTTAAGGCTTTCTGTTTGAAAATGAAACTAGTCCAAGTATTTTCAAGCGCCAACTCACCAGCAGTTATAAAACTAACCTTTAGCAACAACCCAGCTAAGTGGCGCCGCGGTTGACAGGCTGAGAGTCCACCGTGTTCCTGTTAGCACTTCGGTCTCTGCAGCATCCAGGGGCCCTGAGCCGACACGTTGCCCAACAACCCGACTAACATCGATTTTAATGTGAATACCCCCTCATCTCAACGGACAACGCACAGACTAAACACGGGGCTGTTTCCGGCTGCACACATGGACGCCTCAGCTGCTGCCCATCCCCGTGGTGGAGCTTCTGGCCCCTTGGTTCCTGTGCTGATGTTGGGGGGGGGGGGGCTCTCTGAAGGGGGCCCAGCCTGCTCCCAGTGTGTGACCAGCTGTGGTGATACTTGCCTCTAGTGTCGGGTCCCTCTGGTTGGAACTCTTCTCCATCACTCTCTCTGCATGACTCCATGACCTTTCTTCTTCCCGTCTCTTCAGCGCTTCCTCCGCAGCAGTGCTCCGGCTCCTCCGCACCCGCATCGCCCGGGTCCCCTCGCCGTGCTAACCAGCTCTGGACGGGTTCGTCGCCGCCGTCTCTCGCGCAGGTTCCCTCAGAAGCTTCTGGTTTTTCGGGCTCAGCTGAAACTTTCGTCGGCGACCTTGAGACTCGCCTCCGCCGCGGAAAGTGCGGCTGAGGGCCGACAGCGTCTTTTAACGCGACTCGGTTGAGCTTCACTCTGCTGCTGGACGGAAACATGCTGACAATTAACCTGTGGGAGCAGTAAATAAAGCGCCCTCGGCCTCGCTGCCATTAAACTTCACGTGAGGCTCGTTACAACTGCTGCTCTCCGCCCGACGTCCCTGACACAGCGCTCACCTTCCCCTGCTGCTCAAATACAGGAACTACAGGTTGGCATGGGAACCAGGTGAGCGGGCCGCATTGCGCATGCGCGTTGCGTTTTCAATTAACGGATTTGGTTTTCAATTAGATTTTTTTTAATCTACATCCAAATGTCTGTTTAGCACAGAGAAGAAAACTGTGGCGGCGGAGAGAGCTCAACACACACAAGTAAGAAAACACATGCTAATTGAAAAAACACTTGAAAATTCTGAATAACCCTAACCCTAAATTCTCATGACATTCTCCAGAGTTCTTACAAGGAAGCAGGCTGGAGAAACTCCGGAACGTCTCACTTGGATATGTGTGTTCTCACCTACAGCCCCTCCGGAGAATGTCCGGAGATTCTCTGGAGTTTAGTGCTTGTCTGATGGGAAATTAAGCTTCTCAAAAGGAAGCAATCGAGACTGTCCTCCAGGTCGTGGATCAAATGGTCCTAAAACAATCCACACCGATGTGATGCAAAGCCATCGCCATGTGTTTTTAAGCCACCAGAGAAGATTATACCACCCAAATGGAAAAATTAATAATAAATGCTCCAATAAATACTCATTCTTATTATCATGCAACCAAATCAATCCAATTGGCAAATCTAGCTTCCTCTGACAGAGCCACGACAAACCAAGCATGAAGCACAGCGACTTCCCAAATACACATACACTGACTCCTGAATAATATTAATCAATAGTTTAAATCATATCTGCTAAAACAATAATACATGAAGAACAGTTACAGAGCAGCTCTTAGATAAACGTTTAAGCATCTTTTGTAATAATATATATAAGAACAGTTCTTTATTGACACCTGTGAAAAACTGTTCCATAATTTGGCTCTTCTAAATCTTATTGAAATTTGACCTCTGCTGGCAGAAATCTATTCGAATGATGATACGATTGATGAGTTAAATGAAAGTGGGGCAGTGAATTTGGTTTAAAGTCTCGAATTGCTTGAGAGTATTCCCTTCAGTTGAGAGTATTGTAAATTGAATTTATATTCAAATATATAGGGTAAATATTTATTTGATTCAACCAAAACGCCAACGATGCACATTACAGACATAACTTCTAATACTTTCATCATGTGTTGAGCTTCTAGCCACTAATCTCTTCACAAAGTGAATGAAATGACTAAACACGAACAAAAGAAGCAAAACACAAATAAATAAATACATGAATAAAAAAGATATAAATTATCTATATAAGCTACTGAATTGGAACATACAACCATTTGGGACAAAGAAAAATAAAAGTGTGGCAGTTTTATTTAAAAAGCACATTTCATTGACAGAAGTAGATTCAAAGTACTGTAAAGGGATATTTAAAAAACACAGAGCCAAAATTAAAGGAAATCAATTCACAATCAGAGAGCACAGTTTAAAATAATTTTCAAGCACTATGAAAATAGAATAAAAAAAAGATGAATATTATAAGCGGTAAGAGAAATTAAAAGGATAAAATCTATAATGTAAAGGGGATGTATGGAACATTTAACTATAGATATTGAATTGAATAAACATGTTTGTGTGGTTACAGTGATTACAGGCCTTAGAAACTACCAGTGAAATATAATGACGTACAGAAAATACAAAATGGATGTAGACCTGCTGAGAGTCAAGACATAAAAGGGACGGATCAGTATTTTCTGCAGAAATATCCAGATGAACAGAAAATGTAGTTGGTGCACACATATGTATAACTGTTCATGTTTACGTCATGCAAACATACACTCAATTTTAATAAAGGTCCAAAATCAAGATCAGCTAAATACTTTTGGTATAAATATCATAACTTGTAGTATAATTCTTCCTCAAATGCTCAGGTGTGGATATGCTTTGAGCCTTAACATAATGAAGTAAATGTGCAACATTAGCCGTTAATTAAAAGGCCTACGGAGGGAGATTCTCTTGTGCTGACACAGCAGTGTGGAGGTAGGCCTGGCTGTGCATGGCCAACAGAGGGAGGACAGGATAAGTTGTTCAACATAAGCAAAGGTAACTCATTACATTACAAACTTTAATTTTTGCATCAACTCCAACAGTTCCAGTGAACACCCTCTCTCTTGCTTCGACTGTCAGGAGCTTCACAGCAAGTTCATCTCACTTTTATTCATTTAACACAGCACCATGGGGTCGAGCGGTGAAACACAGCTAAAGAAAGGAGGAGGCATTGATACGAGGCAAACGTAGGATTTTTAATCACATTTCTTTTAAAGTGTATGCCCTAGGTCAACAGGAACCAGTGTTTTTTCTAAGTGAAAGTGAACAGTAAGCTTTGCAATGAATAACAATTATTTGGTGTCTCATATAAAATGAAACACATCAGTGTGCTGAAACTTGAGACTGCTCCTCATAGAAGCGGTGGATAGATTTCATTCATAGCTAATCTTGTAGATTCCTTAAATCAAATACCAGATTCACGCCAACTATTTGTATCAGGTGATGTTATTTTTTCATAATTTATTGTGAGTGGTTCCAACATCATGTGATTTTTTTTTTTGTGAAGTACTTTATAACTTTGTTTAGATAAGTGCAATACAAACAGTTATTATGATCTTTAATATGTGAACAATGCATTCATTTTGGGCAAAATACAAGAAATGACAGGCATTTTCAAACAACCTCTTCAGAGCTTTATGTTTTCCTCTTTGTAGATCCTCTATAATTGCTCAATAAAATGAATCACTGTAGTAATAAAACCAGCAATGTCTTTTTTCCACAATGTATAGGATTTATTTATTCAATTTAAAAAAAAAAAACTGTTTCATCATTATATTAGTTGTAGGTTTAGCATGAGAAGGAATAGTTTAAACTAATCTTTACACATTCTTTTATCATCATATTGGACGTTTTGCCAGAAAAACACGCTTCACAAATTATGTGAAGTAATAAATAACAGAAAACATATAGAACTATTTTTTATAATTACGTTTTTTTGCATCGAAACAAAGGTAGAAGAATGGGGAGATGTTTGGGGTGATGGTGAGACCCTGGTGTTGGGAAGTAGCCGGTCCGTGGACTGTGGCGGCCTGATTCACAACACCAGCTGTCCCACCCCACCAAGCCAGCAGATGGCGCTCTGATGGTAATGGTGGTTCTCCATTGGGAGGGAGATAAGTGGTTCCACCTCACGTCGTCCTCCCCACGGTACTCGTCCTCTTCCTCTCTCTCCGAATCTTTGCTGCATCTGTGACAGATGTGGAGGGAGAACATGCAAATTGGAATCAGAGGAAACAATTGGAGGTGAGAAGAGCGAGACGGAGACATGAGGCAGCTTTAGTCTGGGTTCTTCTTCATCATAAACCCAGACATAAGGGATTCTGGGAGACTCTGCCCCACCTCTCTACACCTGACAGGCATTAGACCACCCACAACCCCCTGCTTCAGCTCTGGAGCTTCTGCTCTCCACAGCTCCAACAACATCCTCTATGCAAATTTTATAATCACACCGCAGCTACCAGGAATGTGTGTGTACGTACAGTGAACGTGGGTATAAGCTGATACTTAGCATATGAAATGAGTTGGGATTAGAATGAGATAAAGAGCAGAGTGTAGAGCAGAGGGAGTGTTACGAGGGGTCACTCATCATTTTGCCTCTATGAAGCACTTTAAATCTTCCTGACTGCTCTCACAGGCACTGGAACAGCACGCTGGGCTCAACTGAGTGATTAACAACACCAGCAGTTTCACCAATTATTGCGCACTTGAAATTAAAATGTTGTAGAATATCAGTGTGATGAAAAAGGCAAAATAGAAGAATCACCTCTCAACCCTGTGATCCCAGAGCAGTCCGGTTGATTCAGATAATTAAAATATTTCACTTAAGGCATTTAGCTTTTGTGCATGTAAAGTGTTTCAGTGTCCTGTTCTGGGACGGACCAATATGTAGAGTAGTTAATGCATTAAAGCAGGACTGCAACTGATTATTTTTACTATTGGTTATTCTTTTGATTATTTTCCTCAACAAATTCATCTAAAATAATCTATACAATTGAAAACATTTCACAGATACTAAGTAATCATTTTTTTTATTATAATTATAGAATTTCTGGATTAATGATTTGACAGCATTGACATTGAAGTGTGTGTGTGTTTTTTTTAACTAATAGATTAACCTGACTGGAACAGTTTGTGTCCCTTAGACAAGCAGCAGAAACTAAATATCTACAGAACTAAAAAATCCAGAACCTAACACCACAAATGTTCCATTATGCCTACTTGTTGATAAGAGCACATGTAACCATATGACCTGGATAATGTGATAAAAAAAAAAGCTTCTTTGTCAAAGGTTATTTGGTGAAAAGCTCAGACGGAGAAGTAATAAGTAAAGAGACGAGCAGGAAAAAAATTGCAGGATATAAAGGAGGCACTGCCTGTCATTACCAGACTTAATGTTACTGACAGAGATACATGTGAAGCTGGGCTAAAATACACTACTTCTCTCTTAAGGTGTTTATTTCAGGAGCCCATGGCCTTACCAGCGACTGTAATGTCAGGGAAATGTGTGTTTGAGGAATCCTTTGTTTGTTGTCTCTCTGTGTTTGGCTTCCAGGGCAGTTGTTCTTTCCCTCACACTTGTCTCTACGTGTGTTGCTGTCCACTGAGAAACATCTCTCTGGAGAGAAAGTGTGCTTTTTTTTTGAATCATGAATAATTTGATACATTACAGAACAGTGGCCCCTTCTGCAGATAATTCAGGCATATGCACAACACCGTAATGAAAAAAAAAAAAAAAATCTTGTGCAGCAAGATGGTGTATTTCACATTTGCATATATCGAAACAGGAACGCATCCACCATTGATGTATGTATTTGCATTTAATATCTACCTTTCGTATTAATAGGTTTATAATGTGTGCAGTGTGTTTTCATCAAAATGAAAATAGGGCACACGGTCACATGTTTAGCTGTGTTGTAAAGTGGAAAATTTAATCTGATCTAATTGGTCCTAGTAGATACAAGAATAAATGCTTAAAACC